GGGAAAGCTGTACCTCATCGGCATTGCCGCCATCGTCGTTGCTGTCATAATGGTGAGCTGGTGGGGGCAGGGCCTCTGTTCGTGGGCACTGAAGCCCCCTGCCTTTCGGGTGCTGACCTCACCCTGCCTCCTCCCTACAGATCTTCGAGATGATCCTGAGCATGGTGCTGTGCTGTGGCATCCGGAACAGCTCTGTGTACTGAGCCCCTGCAGTGCCCCAGAGTGACCCGGAGGTGCTGCAGGGCTGTCACCACCTGTGTATATAACGTTTCCGGTATTACTCTGCTACACTTAGCCTTTTTACTTTTGAGGTTTTTTTGTTCTGAACTTTCCTGTTACCTTTTTGGGGCTGACGTCACCTGTAGGTGGCGTGGGTGGGGGTGGAGCAAACTTGGGCCTTGGGGACCCTGTGCTGAAGGGGCCCCTTAGTGAGCTCTGCCTGCTAAGCCAGCGCCCTCCCAGGGACACCTGTCCTGAGGCTCAGCATGGCTGGGCTGGGGGGCTGTTGCCCCCCCTTCCTTGTCCCATGGGCTGCACCTTTTTAATCCTTGTTCCTTCCCTGCCCCCATTTTGAGAGCCGGGTCTGAGCACTCTTTATGCCTTCAATGCACCTGTCCTTTCTAACACGTCACCTTCAATTGTAATTACAACATCTTGAAAATCATTTAATAAAGAAGGAAAATCAGGCATGCTAACAGGACTGTGGAGCCAGTTCCTCTGCCAGCAGCACCCAAGGCCAGGTGAGCCCATTGTGAGTTTGGCCCCGATCTGGACTTTCCCAGGCCAAGGGGGAGCTGGCCCAAGAGGGGCTGCTGGCTACAGTGGGTGGGTAGGGCTGGACTCTGGGGAACAGTCCCATGTGCTGAATGACCCTTTTTGGGGCTCTGTGCTGCCACAACAGTCTTGACATCACTCCCACCTCACCCCTTGGACACATCATCCCCAGAGGAACAAGTGGGGCCAGACAGGGAATTCAGTACATGATGTGCTGGGGGTAGAGCTGCAAGACCCTCCCCCAAGCATTTCAGGAGGTCTCCCTATTTGGGTGCCTTAAGTATTCCATTAAGCTGGGTCACTCAGCCTAAAACCGTATTTTAAAGGGGCTGGTGAGGAAAATTTTAAAGCCTCCTGGAGGCCCACCCAGCCCAGAGTGGTGAACTGAGGCTCTGAGGCTAAGCAGTCTTTGGGCAACACCCACCCTTTTCTCCTTGTCCCATCTCTTACAACCAATGGGCTTGACTAGATGCCCCTGTCTTCGAGGTCCCCAGCCTAGGCCAGGCTGCTTTCCCCTTAGTCTCGGTAGGGCAGTATGAAAAACTGACTGGGACATTTAATTGGCTGGACCTGGGTGGAATTCTGTCACTGGCACCCAGCAGCCTCCTTGAGTCTGACTCTGGAAACTAGCCAGGCCCTACACTGGAGCACTGCAGGGTCTCGGCAAGGACCGCTGCCCCGTCCTTGCCCCTGGGGTTAGCTGATGGTTAGAGGCGCCTCCTCCTTCCTACTCCCCCTCAGTGTTGCCTACTAGCTGGGGTGCTTCAACGTGGGCTTCTGGAAGCAAAAACATTCATTCCTAGCAAGGTTCTGGGCAGGGCAGGATAAGGTGTCCCAAAGGTGCACCGCAGACCAGGAGGCTGAGGAACGGGCGTCTCCAGGAGAGGCCACAACAGGACCTTGTGGAGGAAGGTCAGAGGTGGGTGGTGCTTCAGCCGAGGGAAGACGCTGCCCTCGGGTGGAGGGGACAAAGGATGTCGCCCGGAACCTGCCGTGGAAGGCCGAGCCTCGCCCCCCGCCCAGCACCTCCTGGGTCAGGCCTCGGGTCAGGCTCGGGTAGCTGGGGTGGGGGACTCCAGGAGGTCAGGCTCCACGTGCATGGGGCAGTAGGCCTTCTTACTGCCTCGGAGGTACTGATACTCAGCATCCTGGGCACCTTAGCCATCCTTTGGAGCCAGTTTGGTCTGGGGTGGTGGGTTGTGGCGTCCAGGTTCTTTGAAAATAAAGTAGTACTGAGCACTAAAATATTCGTAGTATTCGTAGTACTCGGGGGTGCACGACCGGTCAGCGGTATACGGCGCCGGCTCCTGCGGACAGACCAACGCAGCACAGCACGGCCTACTGCTACCGCTTCCGGCCAGCACCGGAAGTGCGCGCGGAACGGATTCGCGCCCGTGGTGTGCGATGACGCACTTCCTTGTCAGAAGCGGTCGCTGAACTCGCGGTCTCCAGCAGGCGGCACTGGAACTCCGGCCAGCCTGCACGGCCAGCCGCAGCCCCGGGGCACTCTGGGAACCGCAGTCTTGGCTCCGCCCCCTTCCTGTTCGTCACTTCCGGAGCCGAGGGACCGTGGGGAGGAGCGTTGGCAAAGCCCTGCGTGCGCGCCGAGTGCGCGTCCCGGCAGGCCTCAGGGTGGCCGTCGCGGCCTTGTGGGAGTGGTAGTTCCTCAGGCGCCGCAGCCGCGGCGCGGGGACTGGGGGGAGGGGGACTCACTTTCCCAGAGCCGCCCGCGCGGGGCGGGAGGGACCGCATCCGGCGGCGGCGGACGCGCCAGTGGGCCGGGCTCCGGCGAGTTCCCGGTCGGCCCTCTGAGTGCCGGAGGCTGCGTGTCCGCCGCGCTCCTGCCGCCCTGCGTTTCGCGCGGCCCAGCGGAGCGGAGCGGAGGCCGCCGCTCGGCCCACCCGCGGAGCGGTCCCCGAGCGAGGCAGGCAGCCGCCGAGAGCCCGGCCCTCTGCGGGTTGCACCGTGGTCTGGTGGCCGGCTCCGCTGCAGCCCTCGCCCAGCGAGCAGCCGCGCACCTGGGCCGGGGCCCGCCCGCCCCCACACCGAGGCCCTTCTTCGGCCCTCCGCGGGCGGGGCCCGGGGGCTCGCGGCAGGCCGGACAGGGGCCCCCGGAGGACGCGGGTCTGCCGGAGCGCCTCGTTCTGAACACGCTCTTCACGGGCCAACCGCTGGCCGCTGGGCTCCAGGGCAGCGTGGCCGGGCGCCCATGGCTGAGGCGGGGGCGGGCGAGCCGGCCCCTGGCTTGGAGGCGCAGCAGGCGACGGAGTATGACACCCGGCCTTCTGACACCGTCTCGCTCAGCGACTCGGACTCGGACCTCAGTTGGCCCGGCACTGCTGAGGAGGGGTCGCCGGCCCCCGAGGACGCCGGCCCCGAGGAGCCCCCCTGGTCGCCGGCAGGCCCCCCCGGCGCCGCCGCGCGGCCCTTCGTCCTCAGAGGCGTGAGCTCCACCTTCTCCCAGCGAAGCCACAGCATCTTCGACTGTCTGGAGGGGGCGGCCAGGCGGGGGCCGACCTCTGCAGCTCCAAGCAGCAGGAGTGACAACGGTGGCCCCCAGCGGCCACCGATGCCCTGGAGCCACCCTCCAGCGGCAGACCCTGCCCCTCCGAGGGTGCCGCCTCTCCCTGACTATGTGGCTCACCCTGAGCGCTGGACCCAGTACAGCCTGGAAGAGGCGGCCGAGGCCAGTGGGCAGAGCAACCAGGCAGCCGGCCGGGCGGTCCCCGCTGACGACACGCCCTCCTTCAACCAGCGTCCCTCCAGCGCTGGGCAGGGGAGAGTCGTCTTCACCAAGCCCGTCCGAGTTGGTGAGGCCAGAGCTGAGAGGAAGAGGGCCCTGAGGAAGGGGGATGCGCCAGGTGTTGGGGCCGAGGGTCCTGTGGAGCTGGCCCACCTGGTTGGGCTCGGGAGCCCAGAGGCCGAGGAGTGTGGTAGTGCCCGGGGGCTACAGGATTTGGGGACACCTTCAGGGGCTGTCCACCCTGGATCCTCACCAGGACCCCCAGGGGTGGAGATGGTGGGTTTCCATGGCAGCAAGAAGCGGAGCCGAGAGCACCTGCGCAATAGGGGCAGCAGCCCTGAAAGCTCAGGGGCTGGGACGGGAGGGGGACACTCAGACTGACCACACTGCCATTGCCTGCCCAAGCAGAGACTGCTGAGTGGGCTGGAGTATGGGGCCATGGTTGCTGGGGTGGATGGGGAATCATCCTCTTGGTAAGGAAGTTGATTAGCTGCCTGGAGGAGGTGTCAGAGTTCTGGCTACCCAGTGTCCATGGGGGGACAATAAAAGTTTTGGCTGTTCTTCAGGTTCTGTGTCTATCTGGGCCCCTCACCCTGAGGGCTCTACTGGCAGCCCTCGTTTGTCCTCCAGCCTCTCTTGACCCTCCCCGCCTAGTGGGGCTGCTCTGAGGGTCTCAGTGACCTGCATTGGTCACTGGGGGATCCACTAGAAGGACTGAAGTGGCAACAGCAGGCTGAGGCCCCGGTTCCTTCCAGGGCTGCAGTTCACAGTCCAGCGTCCATCCCTGTGTCCTGCATGGTGAGGCTAGAGCTTGAGCAGGGACCCTGGGTGGCTGCTCTCCCAACCCTGACCATGCTTGTCATGGCCATGAGTCCCACTTGGGCTGTATGTGAAGATGGACACGTAACAGATGTCCAGGATGTACCGCCAGGACACCTGGCCTGTATTTAGAGCACAGATGCCACAAGTCAGTGCTAGAGACTTCCTAACTGGGCAGTGGGGGGGACAAGGATGGTTCTCCATGGCGGTGGGCAAGGCGAAAAGGAATGGCCACGTCTCCCCTATGATGCCCAGGATCTGGAGGTCAGATTAGCCTACTGTGTTGTGGTTTTGCATGGGCAGCCCTAACTCCTGGACTCATCCCTTAGGAAAGGAGGGACCAACCCAGTTGGTTACTTTGCTTGGAGTGGGGGACTCCAGGAGGTCAGGCTCCATGTGCATGGGGCAGTAGGCCTTCTTACTGCCTCAGAGGTACTGATACTCAGCATCCTGGGCACCTTAGCCATCCTTTGGAGCCAGTTTGGTCTGGGCTGGAGGGTTGTGGTTTCCGGGTTCTTTGAAAATAAAGTAGTATTGGGCACCTGTCTGGGCTGTGTCCTGAGACCACTGCCATGGGTGCCAGCACTCCCCATACCAGCTGTGGGGGGTAGATGGTTACTATTGCCACTTGGCCCTTCCCACCAAGAGCCGATCAGCTGACTCCTAAGGGGCCCTTTGTGTCTTAAGGGGTAGAGATGTTGATCACAGGCGTTTCAGGAAAAGATAGTTTCTTATCAGATGACACAAGTGGAGGCAGGGCAGGCCCCAAAGCAGCTGCCCAGCCTGGATGGAAGGAACCCCCAACTTCCTGGGGTTTGGCCAGAACTGGCTGTCCAAGCCAGGCCAGCCAGGTCTTAAACAGGGACATGGAGGACTCATCCTGTGAGGGACACTGCCACCAATACTGCTGGGGGTCTCAGGTAGGTCAAGAGAGAATGATTCATCTTCACAGGGACATGTTCAGGAAGAGGTGTTCTGATGAGGCTGGGAGGGCTACTTTGCTCTGGGACCTCCAGTGGAGATGGGGGAAAGTTAATGTGTCCCCAAGGCCCAGGATGACCAGTGATGGGCCAGGCCTGGGCTTAGTTGGGCCTGTGGCATGGCAGGCCAAGCAGCTCAGTTGTCTGAGGGTGGCTGGCCAGCCTCTGGGTATTCTCTGCCACCAGGGCCATCTCCGTGGCCAGCAGGGGCCTGCTGGCTCCCATTACCACGTTGCCGAGAGCCTGGTGGGAAGAGAGACCCCACCTCAGCTGTTGAGTGCCAGCTGGGCAGGCCTAGGAGGCAAGGGCAGGATGTGGTGGCCTCAGAGTGGGTGCCTGTGGAGGAGGCTGGGAGTCCCAAGCAAAGGTGGTGTCCTCAGGGCTGTGGGTGAGTAGGGTGGCACTTGGCAGGGTCAAGAGTGCAGCCCAGTAAGGCAGATATTGGACAGAGCCTCAGGGTGTATCTGACATCTGAGGGTGCCAATGCCCTGGACCTTGCAGCATCCCAGGAGTAGTGGCCAGCCAAGGGGGCCAGCGGCCTCCAGACTGAGTGGGGTGGTAGAGTGCATCAAGAGGCCCGTGGGCCCTGCAGCCTGCCCACGTGGCTGGGGAGGAGGAGCCCAGGCCCACTTCACAGCCAGCTGTGCACTTACTCCAGTAGTTGCTGCCTGGGGCTAGCACATCAGCCATGGAGGACAGGAGCAGCGTGCAGTAGTTGACCTGGAAGTGGATGGGCCAGGAGATTCCAGGGCATGCTGGTGGAGCCCACCCGTCTGCCCCCTCAACTGCCAGGGCCCTCTGCCACAGGACCCCTCCTCCTCAGTGTGGCCTCCATGAGGATCTGCAAGACCAGCTCTGGGAGGGCACTTAGACTTTCGGGTGACTGGGGGTTGGGCAGGTACAGGCCCCACGTGCACCTCTGTCCTGGGACTCGCCGGCCACGTCCACAGGAGTCCACCACTCTGTCCAGGCCCTGGCCCAGCCAGCCCATCAATTTGGATGTTGGGCTCAGGGATGTGCCCACAGCACAGGTGGACAGCCTGACCCCAGGAAGCACCGGGGCCTGGAGTTGCTGCTTGCCTGTGATTCCAGACACCGGATCCGCTTTTCTTGCTCTCTCAGCCCCCCGAGGTACTTGGCAACAGAGTCCACTCTGTGGATAAGCAAGGGCAGCTGTGGGCCATGACAGCCATTACTCCATATGGGGGCCGCCTGTCCTCCCTCGCCTACCCCCCAGGCCTCTGGGTACTGAGTCTGATGTGCTGGCCCCTTCCTGTCCTGCTCTCCCAAGTGGGACCCATGGCTCTAGGAATGGTCGCATCCACGACCACTCAGCACATGGCCAGTCTGCATGTAGAGCACTTCTGTGCCCTCCCAGGGGCTGGGCCCTGCCCTGCCTGACCACAACAGCAAGAGGGGGGCACAGGGCAGGAGATCCCACCAACAGGCATCAGGGAAAGGTCCCCTGCAGCCAGGGCTGGGTTCAGACCACTCGGTCCCCAGAAGAGAGGGGCCCTGCTCCCTGGCCAGTGTCCCAGCTGCAGAGCAGGCTAGTCCCTGGCAGAGCCCCTCAAGTGGGCAAGAGGTGGGGCTGCTGGGCCCAGGGACCCAGCCACGTCCTGCTTCTCTCCTGGTTCCTCCTCCCAGATCCGGTTACTGACACTGGAGGTCCTCTTCCAGCTTTCAAGCAGCTCAAAGCTGACCAGTGAAAACGACAGTGGTCTTCCCCATGCCCAGGCTGGGCACCACTGCCCAAGTCTGCTGCCCCTCACAGCAGACCGAGGTCAGCAGGGCTGGGCTTGCTCTGGGTCCACCTGCCACCAGGGCAAGGCCCTTTCCGTTCCTGGGCAGCCCCAGGTGTGTACCTGTGGGCGGTTTTCCGCAGCACCTCCCCCTCACTGTCCCTCTTCCTCCTCTCCATGTTGCTCAGGAAGTTCTCCTTCTGAACAGTCTCCCAGGTGACGATCTTCTGGTCCAGGGGGTCCGGCAGGTCTCGCTCTGGGGAGGTGGGAGCAGCAGGGAGTCTTGCTGGAGCCAGGAGGTGGACCCAGGGGCAGGTGCCGCTGGGCAGGTCATGAGGTGGCCCCTTGCAGAGACCCCCCTCCCCAAGCTGCTGCAAGACAGGCTGGGCCTGTGTCCATCTCCTCCGGACTTGGGACTTTGATCAGCCTAGACAGTGGAGCTGCGGGACCCCAGGACCCTGGCCTCCCCGTGGCACCTTGACGGGCGGCAGGCCCTCAGGATGGGTGGTGTCCAACAGGTGCCTCACCCAGGTGCTCCTGCTTTTGCTGGGCTGCCTTCCTGAAGACGCGCTTGAGCACCAGGCTCAGGTGGCTGAGGAGGATGAAGGGTGGGGCCAGGGCCGGACGCCCGTGGTATTCCACGATGAGGTGGTAGCGCTGGAACTTCCAGAACATGTCGGCGTTTCCCTGCACCACCTGGAACGTGTAGCTGTGGGGACACATGGCCAGACCCCTCAGCCCACTAGCCTCCACCTCCTCAGCACGTGTGACCCTGACCCCCCTGTGCCAGGAGCAGTCTGGGCCCTTTCCGAAGCAGAGGTCCTGCACGCTCTGCCGTCTCTGGGTGTACTGCGGAGAGGGTCCACCCGCTGGCCTCTTCCCCTGCTGTTCTGCCCCCTGGGTAGGCTTGGGCCACACCACGTACCCCCGAGCCCCCAGCCCCTGAGCCCTGGGCCCTGCTTCCTGGGAGGAGGCAGTGGCTGTGGAACCTGAGTGGGCTTACAGTGCGGACTGCACCCCTCCCCACACTCTGGTCTCACCCTTGGCTTTGGGGCCAGGGAGTCGAGCCCCTCAGCAAGTGCCAAGGACCCACCCTCCACCTGCCTGCTCCACAGTAGCAGGACAGGGCTGGTGCAGCGAGGGCAGGTGGCCTGGGAGGGGCAGGACATGGGCACCTGAACATGGCAATGAGCAGGTTCATAAGCAGCACGTTGGTGACCAGCAGGAAGGTGACCAGCAGGAGGATGACCAGCCAGTTGGCATAGAGGTTGGGGCAGGAGGGCGAGTCCTCCAGCAGCAGGGGGTGGACGGAACAGTTCACGCGAGCTTCTGGAAGACCGACCAGTGGGCACTTTCAGACTTGGGGGCCCTGTCCTGAGGCTGCGGCCACCAGGACACAGAATGCTGGTGAGGTGACCCAGTGTCGTGGTTCCCACAGCACCGCCTGGGCAGTTCGCACTGGAAGCCCATGGTGGAAGCCCCAGTCCTGGCAACCAGACAGGCGGGCTGCGCGGCACCAGTGCACATATCCCACTCTGCTTGGCTTCCACCAGGAGCCACAGCCCTGGAGGGTGGAACCGAAGACCAGGGAGGTGGAACTGAAAAATCAGGGAGCAGCATCTGGTGACTGTATGAACTAACTCCTCCATCCCTGCCTGGGAAGCCCACCATGGGGCTCCAAGCTCCAGGCAAGTCTACCGCCTTTCAGGATCACTGGTGACCCTTGACACAGCGCACTCTGGGCCGCAGTGCCATCCGGGAGCCGTCAGGCTGAGCTCCATGGGCCTGGACATGCGCATCTGTCTCTGCACGTGTGTGGTGTGGGTGTCTGCGTGTGAGCACACGGTACTCTCTTCTGTACATTCCAGTGTGTTCTGGTGCCTACCCCTCTGGGTTTCTGGGCTGTGACTGACTCCAGGCCACCCCGGGGCCTCCACTCTCCAGGTCACCTGTGTACCAGTGTCCCTAGGACTCCCTCACTGGCACAAATTCCTGCCTTGTCACCAGAGTGAGTTAGAAGGCAGTGTGTGGGGGTTCATGCTGTAGCCGGGGAGGGCCAGGCCCCACCCTGCCCCCTCCTTGGGCACCCTGGCAGCCCTGAACCCATGAATCTCCTCCAGGCACTGATTCATGAGCCTCCTCCCTCCTCCTGGCGCCCTAGAGAAGTGGCCAAGCTGGCGTTTGTGATGCTGTAAATCTGTCTGATGGAAGCCTCTGGGAGGTAAGGAGACCCCACCCCTATCCACAGATTTGAGAAGGCGCCACTAGGCCTGCTGGAAACCAAATTGCCCCCGGCCCAGGAGCCCAGGGGAAAGACCCAGCTGGAAGTGTGCGGAGGGGGGCCCCGGGCCCACAGGCGGTGGGGAGCTGCTGGACCTCGGTTTCCCTCTGGGCCCAGGAGTGAGAGAATAACTGTCTACCAGGCGGCACAGTGATCTCAGGAAGGGCTGGGGTCTGTGCCTGAGGGCCCAGAGAGGAGAGGACATGGGCAAGGGCGCTCAGTGAAGCCTGACCACGGTGGCTCTGCCTGTGGTGTTCACGGCAGCCCCACAGACCTTTCTGGCCTGTGCCTTCCCAGGTGGCACTGTCCCAGTAAGAGAGGGACTAGCCCAGGTCTGTCTCCTTATCCAGTGCGGAGGGCAGACAGCTGGGGCTGAGTGGGCTGGACATCACCCCTGAGGAAGGAGGACCCCACCCTGACCCGGCTGAGGCGTCCACCCTGTCCTCCTGCCTCAGAGGCCCAGTGGGGCTGGAATGTGTGGGCCGTAGGGTGAGGGCGGAGCAGGTGGAGAGCAGGAGGGGCTGGAGAAAGTGGTCCTTGAGGGGCGCTAAGAAAACAGCCTCAGACCGTGGCCCACTGAGCACCCGCTGGGAGCTGGTTTCCAGCCCTTGCCCACCCCGGAGGCCTGTGTTTGCTCCGATCTCACCGTCATCCATTGACAAGTATCTGTCACATGCCACGATGGCTGGTCTGGCCTCCTCCAGGGACAGCTGGGGTCAGACCTCTGCTGCCCATCCTGCCACGATGGCCCCATGGCCAGGGTGGCCCCACCCTGCGCCCCATCTCCAAGCCTTGGCACCCCCACAGGCTGGCACAGGCCCATCCCTGCCTCCATCCATCAGCCCAAGAGCCCAGGCAAGCAGCTGCCTTCTGCAACACGCTGCACGCCCTGTCTGGAGCGAGTTCCCAGGGCCCCGCCAGCCCCATTCAAGTACAGGGCCTGGCTTGGGGACACCCACACCGCAGGCCACATGCCCCTGATGACAATAGGTGGCACACACGCGTGGGTGGGTCCCCAGCAGAAGCAAGGGTGCTGTCGGGAAGGGCCTCACCACCCTGGGCCTCTGGAGGGTGACAGGGAGACCTTGGCCATGAAGCTCCCAGGATGGTCAGGGTGGCCTGAATGACTCTGTTCTGTGCTTGCCCACCCATTCACCCCCTCTCCAGATGACCCCAGGCTACGCCTGTCCCTGGCCTGCCAGGCAGGAAGTAAGTCCCTGTCAGCCTGTGGTCTTCCAGGTCTCAGCTCCCTGCCTGAGGGTGAGGCTGGGGCCTCCTGCTGGGGCTGGCCCTGCCCCTGCTGTGGGTCTGGGCCTGGCCTACACAGGCGTGCAGGGCACGGGGGCGGGGTGGGGGGGCACTGGCCTCGGGGACTTCTTCATCTCGGCCAGCTCCAGGCAGGCCCATGACCTCAGCAGACCCCTCTGGGGAGCCAGTGTCCTGGGCTGCTAATCCACACTGGCAGAAGGGCCCCACCAGTCCACTCCTGCCTGGCTGTGGGCGCACCGTCAATCTCATCCAGGGGGATCTGCCCAAAAATCTGCAGGTAGGGCCGGTAGAGCACGCGGCGGAAGATCCACTCCAGGCGGCCGTCATGGGGGTGTAGCAGTGCTTGGGTGGTCACACCGTAGGCCACGAGCCACACACTCAGGAAGAAGAGGAAGAAGAAGACATCCTTCATCTTGAGGACAAGGGACAGAGATTAGGGGTGTCAGTGTCCACTTGGATGGGCATTCTGGGGCCCATTACCACCCAGTGGGGATCCCAGGTCTGGGGGATTCTTCTACCCAGAGTCGGGCCCAGGTGGGGACTGACCACCCCCCAGGGTCAGGCCCAGGTGGGGGCTCACCATTCTCTCCACAATGATGATCTTGGGGCCCAATTGCTTATGGATGGCAAAGATGTGGATGAGCCGAAGCGTGAATACCATGAAGTCGATGGCAAGGGTGGTCCGGCCGGCCTCAAATAAGGAGGTTAGCATCCTGGAGGAGGACACAGGCTGCACAGGGCTGCTGGTCCTCAGACAGGGGAACACCCTTCCCCACAGCTCACTGACCAGAAGGCAGCTGCCAGGCCTCCAGAGGCCTGAGTGACTTCACAGGAAGCCTGCCCACCAGCCCCTGAGAGGCCGCAAGGTGACACCACGGACCTGCAGGTGACACCGACGGTGAACAGGAAGATGGCTACCATGTCACACTTGTTCCAGTTGTCCTCCACGTACAGAGTGAACTTCTTTACTAAGTGTGTGTCCTCATCGGTAAAGAAGCCCTGGGAGAGGGAACAGGCTGATGACAGCTGCCCAGGCTGGCCCAGGCTGGGGTCTGCAAGTACCAGGGAGGACGCCTTTCATGGTTCGGATGGACCTATTCAGGGCTAAGTCTGGGGACAAAAGCAGACCAAACTGGACTTGGGAGTCGGGGCTCTCTGTGATCAAAGTCCAGGACCATTTTATGTTGGGTATCCAGGCCCAGCTATGGGTTCAGGCCAGGATCTGGGAGACCATGGTCAGGCTCAGTCTGGAGCTGGGCTCAGGACGTGACAGGGATTGGGGCTCAGGGCTCTAGGAAGACCGGAGGCCCCTGCTGTTCTTGTTCTGCAGACAGGTCCAGCCCCAAGCCAGGACCTGCCTGTGGCCACACAGCCTGCAGCTACAGAGCCAAGGGCCCAGGGCTGGGCTGGCCACTGACCTGCCGGATTTCCTCCAACACCAGTGTGAAGACCCAGAAGTAGAGGGTGATCTCGGGCCCAGATGGCCCCTGGGGAGGCGGCCTGAAGTCTACCAGCAGGACGTAGGTGAAAAGGAAGAGGAAGGCGAAGTACATGACCACGTTCCCCAGGAACACAGTCACCGGTGCCCCCCAGAACTTCCGCCAGCGTGTGAGCAGGAAGGCAGCCTGCGGGCCTCGGTCACCTGCACCCTTTGGTGTCTCCACTGGCTCCTCCACCCTGTGCCGGTGCAAAGGAGGCCACTGTTCTGAGGCTGGCCCTGGAGGCTGTGTCCCTGGAGCCCACCTCTGCCCAGCAGGGTCCAGCCTCCTGCCACCCCCACCAGCCCGTCTGCCCTACCCAGCTCCCTCAGCCCCTGACCGGCTGCCCGAGCCACACAGCAGGCTCCTCTCTGTGTCCAGGCTGTCCAGCTCCTGCAGGTCCTCCAGGCCCGTCCTCAGAGGGGTTTCCTTACTGTGGTACAGAGGGACGCTCAGAGCCCTCAGGAAGGGCACCTGCTCAGCCCTGGGCTCCCAGCCAGCAAAGTGCTGGGTCTGCTAAGAAGAATGAAGGCCCATGTGCCCCACTGAACACAGGGGCTGTGGGCAGGGGGACAGAGACTCTGGCACCTGGCTGTGGCCAGCCTGACCCACCTGAAGGTGATGAGGTTGGTGTAAATGAGGGCAGGGCAGGTGAAGGCGCCCAGCAGCCGCAGGATGGGTGTGCCGGCAGCCATGTCCCCCCACCAGATCTTGGTCAGGAACGCCTGAAATAAAGACACACTCATTGGCTGTCCCCTGCCCACCTGGCCCATGCTGTGCCCTCCGCCAGGAACGTCCTTCCCCAGGCACCTGGCGAATGCAAGTGCTTTCCCAGGCCAGCTGGAGAGGCCCCTCCCAAGCCCACCCCCGCCCCATCCTGGTGGGAAGCCAGGGATCCTCCTGGAAGCGTGGATCATGTCCTGCTGTGAAGCTTCACTAAGGGACTGCTGGAGCCCAGGGGCCTGCTCTGAGGAAGTGAGGTCTCCATAGGCAGGAAGAGTCCGGCTGGCAGAGGGCGCGGGAGCTGAGTCACCATGCCCAGCCCCTTCATTGCTGGGATGTGGGGAGGGGCCTGGCCGTCCACGGCTGCCTGGGCCCCTCCAGCCCACGTCGCCCCAGCGGCCTTCCCCTGGCCGCCCCTTACCTGCACGCCGTCATGGGCAAAGAAGGCCTTGGCGTCCGCCTCGGTGGCCAGGTGCAGGCAGGTGGTCCGGCTCCAGCTGTGGTTGCGGCGCACCAGCAGGGCGAAGGCCCGGTCCTCACTGTTGCTGTAGCACTCGGAGAAGAGGTCTGCCCAGCGGGCCCTGTCTGCGTGACGTGCCCATGCCCACCCTGTCTTCTGCCCCCTCAGGCCTCCCTGCCTGGCTGCCCAGCCCCTTACCTAACCTTTGTCCTTCTCCAGCCCCTCTCCTCTCCTGTCATAACTGTCACCCCGAATGTCCTCCACCCTGCAGCAGGACCCAGCGTGGGGCCAGGGACATGGGGCTGTGCTGTCTCTACCACACGCTTTCTCATTTAGGACTCCAGGGCTGAGCTCCACCGCCAGGAGGAGCCACCCGTCCTGTTCCACCAGGGAGGCCAAGAGGCAGTGGCCTGAGGGGAGCCCAGGCCCCTCATTGACCCTCCCACGCCTCTCCCACAGTTGGCCTGCCCACTGTCACTTACCCAGGGCCAGCTGCTCGTACTTGGCCTCACGCATGGTGCGGGCCACCTCTGCCTCTGTCTCCAGGTGGGACATTTCTTTGAGGATTTTACAGGCGGCCAGGGCTGCTGCCACACCCTCCTGGCCCTAGGAGACGGGGTCTCAGGAGGTTGGCCCACCCGGTCCCCTCCTCCCAGGAATCCTGAGGAAGCCCAGACTCAACCCAGGGCCCCGTGGCCCCTGCTCACCATGGCCCAGAAGTAATTGGCCATCTCGTGGCGGTTCTGCAACACAGCCCATAGGAACAGGTCCCTCCAGGGGTCCTCGCTTTTCTGGTTGAGGTCCAGCAGCCACTTCTGGCCGGTGGGCCTCTTGGCCGGCCCCCTCTCCTGGAGGACATGTGGACATAAGGCTCCAGGCACGGCCCAGGCCCCAACCCCTGCTGCGCCCCTACGCACCGCCTTCCTCCGGCCGGCTGCCCGGCTGTCCTGGTAGAAGCCGCGGCAGGCATCATGCAGGAAGTCCTTGAGCACACGGGAGACCTCGTGCAGGGAGAAGGTGGGTGGCCCTGCAGGCAGGTCCCGGGAGTGCTGGGCACCCAGGCCAGCCAGCGTCAGCCGGCCCTCCTCATGCTTACGCTGCAGCAGGTCAAAGAGCAGGCTTTTGGGGGACACAGAGCGGTAGAGCTGCTGCAGCCGCCCATACGTCAGGAAGTCGGCCATGTTGGCACCGCTGTCCACAAAGAGGCGCACGAACTCGGGCTTGTTGCTCACCAGGGCATCCATCATCACCTCCTCCAGGTCGCAGGACTGGACCCACCCAAGGGAGGGAGACGGGGATAGTGAGTGTAAAGGCCAAGAGGCCGCAGCCCAGGAGCCCTGTCCAGGGCTAGCCAGCACTGATCCCCTCCCCAGGACATCTCTGCCTGTCCCCTAAGCTAGGGCTGGCACAGGGTGGGCAAGCTTGCTCCAGGGCAGGAAGGGTCCGGATGTGCTGGTGAACACCAAGGGCATGGGGAGCCCTGGGCTTCGGGCTGGCCCACACCAGCCTGCCCCTGCGGCTGCAACAGCTGGGCCAGAATGGGCCAGTCAGCAGCTCCAGGGCCTGGCTGTCCCTGCCCCCAGAATGGGCCCTGCCTGTTTTAGCCAGAATCAGGGATCAGGATGCATCACAGGTGGGGCCAGGGAGGCACCTTCCACTCCACGTCCCCACTGAAGATCTCACTCTTGGCGATGTCCACACGGTCCCAGGCCACGGCCAGCTTGAGCTCATCCAGGTAGTCCTGGGCCTCTTGGCTGTGGCTCTTGCAGGCTGGGGGGAGAGTGGGAGGAAGCTGAGAGCCCCCAGAGCCCAGGATGCAGAAACTGGAGGTCTGTGCTGGGATTGGAGGAGACTTGAAGGGAAGTGGCCACTGCCCATCAAGAGCTCAAGACGGTGAAAAGCCAGGCCCCACGGGCGCCCTGTCCCCTTTAGGACCAGGTCCCAAGAAGCAGAAGGGACCCTCACAGTAACGGGGCCTCAGATGACATCCAGATATTGTGGTCACTGGCCAGCACTGCTGGTCCAAGTCCTCCTCCCATGGACAGTGTGGGGCAGCATGTTCCCACATCCCACACTCCCTCCATGGGGAATGGCTTTCACCCACAACTTGGCCCTGCAGGGTCACTGGTGTGGGGTCCTGCAGCACCTGGCTGGGGCTGCCTGGAGACCTCCTCCTGAGAGGAGGGTGGAGGGTAGAGTGCCAAGGTGCCAGGCCTCGGGCTCTCAGGCTGCTGGGACCCAGCTGGCTGGTGGGAAACCGTGAGGGACGCCTGCAGAGAGGGCTCCTTGGGCCTCCTCTTCGTGGGAGGGGCACTAAGCCCAGAACCACCCACAATCCCAATGCATCCCTGGAAGGGCCCTCCCTCAAGCACGTCCCCGCCCCTCACCCAGCCCTGCCCCTCCCAGCCTTGGGCCTGTGTCCAGCTGCCTGAGGTCAGCCTCCCTGTCTGTCTGTCGAAAGCACCAGGAGTGACAACGGAACACTGCCCTCACTCCCAGGCCACAGTCGCTGGGGTCTGTCCACAGAAGGGGGTTACTGCTCAGTCTGGAAGGGTGTTCTGGCACCTGCTGTGATCTGGGGCCCTGAAGACCCCGAGGGAGGGAAGTCAGATGCAGAGGCCACGCACTGTTCCCCATTTCTCTGCAATGCCCCTAGTGGTCAAGTCCACAGAGGTCGAAAGCAGAGAGGCGGTGGGGGCATGGGACAGTGGAGGGTGGCTGTGGGGGTGGGACTGTTTGGGGTGACGGAGTTCTGGAGTGGTGATGGTACAGGACTGGTGAAGAGGTAGGAACCACTGGACGGACGGAGCGCCTTAGATATTTTTAAACTGTGTGTGTGTGTGTGTGTGTCATCGGATTCCCCAGCACAGAGCACCTCACGGACGTGTGTCACCTTCCCCACCTGGGAAGGGCAGGCAGGTGTCCACCGTGAATGCTGGTGGGCCACCTGGCCCTAAGTGGCCTAAGTGCTGTTGAGAAGACACCCTGCTCCCCTCACCTTTCACCAGTGCTTTGAGGATGACGGTGTCCAGGTCCTCAGAGCCTTCCTGCTCGAAGTCGTACACGGTAAGCAGGTGCGGGTGAGAGGTGATGTTCTGTAGCTGTGGACACCAGGACAGGCCCCGAAGGGCACCCATGGCACGACTGGTGGCAGTGGGCCAGCATGGAGCCCAGCAGAGTCCCCAGCTGGGTGAATGTGTGCCCACCACCCACTGGGCCTGGCTCAGGACCACCCACAGACCCAGGAGCTGGTTGCCAAATCCCTCTACCCCCCGAGGGCCGGAGCAGAAGCAACATGGGGTCCTGGCAGTGGTGGGTGGGCACAGAGATTGCACTGGCAGGAATCCCCAAGAGCCAGCCCACCCCAAGATGAGTTGGAGGACAGAGGAGGAAGATCAGCCCCTCCCGAGTCCCCAGGCAGCACGTACCAGCTTGGTCCAGTGCACGATGGCCTCCCAGGAGAAATGCTCACTGGGGAACTTCTCTCTAAACTGCTTCTCAGCCACCTGGGGTACCAGGAGGTGGGGCTGGCTCACCAGGGCAGCAAGCACGTCGGCGATGCCACCTGAGCCTGCCAGGATCAGCCAGGGGGCAGCATGCTCCACAGCCCTGGAAATCCTCTGGGATAGGGGCAGAGTGGACCCTGAGTCACTCCAAGTGATATCTGCATGTACATTTGGGGACATCCTCATCCCTCCCTGCCTGGGGACCTGCCACTCCCTGCAGGATGCTCTGGACATTCAGGGGCCTTCAGCCCAACCCCCACTTCCTTCCCAGCACCTACCTCCAGGATGCTGGGGTCACCATTGACCAGCAGGCAAAGGACAGGGATCTCGATGCTACTAGTGCCTGCAGATGAAGCAGCCATGAAGTTCCTCCAGATACCCAGGATGGACCCAGTTGGGGAGGTGAGGAGGAGCCTGGGGACCCTCCTCATGATGTGGGTGACCACCCAGACCCCAGACTCTCGAGCTAGCACGTTTCTGGGCACAGGATGGTCAGAGGCTTTTTGTCATGAAAGGCTTCAGGCTCTATGTCAAATCCCAGGACCAAAGGGACCAATTCTACACCTGTACTGTCCAAGGTGGCCCCCTGTGGCTAGAGCAAGGGTATGGCCGTTTTTAAATTTTACTTTTCTTTTTTTGGTTGATATGTTACAATTATACGCCGTAGTGGGGCTCGCACCATATTCACGCATGCATGTAGCCAAACCTGGCCCATCTCCTGCCCCAACACCTTCCTCCCCTGGCCACTTAGATACAAGGGAAGGCAAAGGTAATGGCACACTCCTTGGCTGCACCAGAGGAGCAGGGCAGCCTCTCGGCCAGCGCAGGATGCCCAGCGGGGCTGCTGCCCCCCAGCAGGCACCCCGAGCAACTCCAAGAGGCAGAGCGGGGGCCTCTTCCAGGCTATGCCCCCAAACAGGAGCTGACAATGAGACTTCCACGTATGAAGTCCCCGAGGAGCCAGGACCTGCCAGGGTCTTCCGGAAGGACCCCGGGTCACCGCACACTGCAGGAGAAGCCTGGATCACCCGCTGGGGAGCTGGGGGCTGGGCGCCCTCTGACCATGAGGGGGCCTCCCAACTGAACTGCCAGGGTAAACTGGGCTGGTCACAGGTGCCTGGGCCTGCTGGGGAGGCAGGGCTGCCCTCCCACCTCATTCCCACTGCTGGGGCATGCTCAGATGGCATGCAGACAATTCCATTCTGTGCATTGATATTTACATCACTCGTACCCATTGCACCTTATCTACAAACGTCACTCACACTAGTGTCTCCCTAGTAAGTTCAGCTCTGGAGCCTGCCACTGGCCAACGCTGCCTCCTGGTGGCAGATTGCCTCACGGCAGGTGGTGGTATGGGCCTCCGGACTTACAGGTCTCTTTTTCCTTCTCAAAGATCCAAGTCCATGGCCAGAGCCTGCAGCCAGGACAGCCCCAGCAAAAATGGGGCCAGGCTGCCCTGCCGTCTGGCTGGGGTGTCAGTGCCCAGCTGGGACTGCTCTGCCCAGCTAAGCCGCTCTGCCACCCCCGCCCGGCCCCCTCCTCCTCCCAGGCCTGGTCGCCTAGGTCTCGATGCTCAGGAGTGCTGGGGGCCTTTTGTCTAGAAGATCCTTCCCTCTTCGCGGGGCTCCCCCACCTCACTGCTCCAAGTCCCCTGCGGCCCTGGTGGCTGGAGCAGGCCTTACCCCCATAGCTGGTCCTCTGCTGCGAGATGTGCTTCTCCAGCCTCAGCCGCAGTTCTGCCAACCCGTCCCCCTTCCCTGGGGTGTCCGGCTCCACCAGGATGAAGTGAGAGAGGTTGCTGTCCAGGGCGCAGAGGGGGCTCTGGCTGCCCCCATCGTCGGCTGGGTAGTGGATGGGGGTGTTCTCCTGTGCCATGTAGGGGGGAGAGCCTCAGGTGGCAGAGTCGCTAGGCCCTGTGGCCGGGTCTGCCCCTCCCCCACACGTGCGCAGGGCCGCAGCGGCATGGGCTCTAGTTCCTCCACCCCTCAGGCGGAAGGAGGCTGAGCTGCTGGGCCCAGGCCTCCTGGACACACAGAATCATGGAGGTGGCCAGGACTGCAGAAACTCCTCCCTCTAGACTCTTCTGGGTTGGAGTCCAGACTTCGCTGCAGCTGCCTGGGCCTCTATTTGGCCATGTGGCAGACCCCTTGGGTGGGGGATGTGAAGAGGGACCAGGAAGCAAAGCCACACGCCCAGGGTTTCACAGGGCTCTGGGACTGTGGCCAGGTTGTGCCCCTGTGGACCCCCTGAGAGCCAGGTCCACCTCCAGAGGATCTGCCCTCTGAGCAATGCTGCCACCTGCTGGCGCGTGCTGGACCCGCGGCCCCGGGCTCGGCCCCCTCCATCTCCAGCTCTGTGTCCTCCCCCCTGGAGCTTCACTCTGTGGCCCTAAGCCCCTGCTGCCCGTGGAGAGTCCCTGAGGGCAGGGACTGGCCTGTCCACTGTGCCTTCCAGCCACCCAGGCCCACCAAGACCCCAAGGCCGTGGTACCATGATCCAACTACTACCTGGGCATCATCTAGAAGTTGATGGTGCAGAATGCGGCCCAACGAGGCAATGCCAATGGCCACCACGCGGACCTTAGTGGACGTGCTGGCCAGGGAGTGGTCACGCACAGCCTGGCCGACATGCCGGGCCAGGCCCACACGGAGAGCGCTGGTCAGGATCCAGGCGCCTAGAGGGATGGGGCAAGGCGGGGCTCACTGTGCCATGTGTCCCAGGTCCTCCCCAGCTGGCCTGCCAGGTCCCATAGACGGGCCCGGAGTCCTCAGGCCTGGGGGCCAAGGTTGGGGTGCTCGGGCTGCCTTGAGGCAGTGATGGGTAAGCTGAGGCCCAGGGGAGCGGGCACCTGCCCAGCGTCTCTACAGCTTGGAGCCTGGTTCCTGAGCCCAGGTCTGCAGTGTGGTCATGCAGCAGCCCTGAAACTCTGGGCTGCAGAGTGAGTACTGGGGACCCCCCCTCCACATTGGTTCTTCCTGAACCAAGCAGGCCACGGCTGTGCCCTGTGGCTGTGCGGGGCCAGGACCACAGCACCGCCGTCAGCCTGTGTCTGGGTGCACATCAGTCTTCTTTGCTATGGTCGTGTCTGCAGAAACCCCGAATCCTCCTCCGGGCTGTCTGATAGCAAAGCTAGCCGCACAAGTAAGCCCAGGGGCTTGATTCTGACCCCAACCACTGGCCACCCACATGCTCCCCAGGGAGGGGAGGTGTGGTGGACCCCACCCTTGATGCACCTCATCCACTGGCTCAGGTGAGTGACAGCCAGGGCCTCTCACTATGGCCCACAGGCCCCACGAGTGGAGGTGGCAACTCCGGTGGGGGCCTCTGCCCACTGTGAACAGGCGCCAGCTGGGGAAGGCCCTTGGCCTCACCTGTGTGGCCTCCCCACGAGCAGCTTCCATTACAGCCCCGTGCCCTGCGGAGCGTGAGTGGGCAGGTGTGTGTAGGAGGGGAGGTGGTGGGCAGGGCAGGCCAGGTGGAGGCCCTCACCTGTGCTCTGAGCCGCCTTCACCAGCCCCTTGCGCAAGACGTCCCGCAGCCAGGACTTCATGGCAAAAGGCCTCTCCTCACCCACCAGGGACACCACCAGGTTGGGGGCCGGCAGGTGCCACTCAGCCAGCAGCAAGTCAAAGAGAACAGAGGGGGCCACGCTGCTGGGCACCTTCACGAACTGTGGAGCAGGGTACCCGTGAGCTCCAGTGGGGCTGGAGGGCACTGGGCATGGGGATATGGGGCACCGAGGGGGCTCTGGGCACTGGGAGGGGGCGATGCACATGTGTGCAAAAGTAGAGGCCCCTTAGACGGTTTTTGGAGCAGGTCGGGTCCAGCTTGGACCTCCATGTGGCTGGGCAGTCCCAAGCCTCGCTAGCCTGGCTTCCTCCTCGGGGAGCTGAGGCCCCGGCAGAGGAGAGTTCCGGGCACATTGGCCGCCAGCGTCTCCCAGGCCCCCCAGTAGATCCTGGGCAGTTCCAGTTAGTGCTGGGGGCAGGGGGCTGGGAGAGACAGCCACCTGAGCCCACCAGCTCTGAAAATCTGCCTGTCTGGTCTGGGGGCCCTGACCCTGGCCTTGGGGGACAGTGGCCCCAGGACTGAGTGAGCAACGGGCCCTGCTTCCAGGGAAGGGAGCGGACGCAGGGTCCTGAGTGTGCTGAGGGCGCGGCCACCCCTACCTTGCTCCGCTTCTTCCCGGACCCTCCAAAGTCCACCTCGCCCCGACACAGGCCCAGCCCTTGCCCGTCTCCTGCGTCTGGGGGGCTCCCAGGACAGTAGCCGTGGGCGATCTGCATGGCGGCCTCTCTGTGGAGACACAGTAAGCCTGAAGATGACGAACCCAATCCTGGCCTTCCTCACTGTAGTGAGGGAGCCACCTTCACCAGGGAAGACCCCTCCCCAGCCAATAAATCTGCAGAGATTTGGGGACCATGAGAGGCAGTCTCTGCTCTGGTGACCTGCTCTCGAGCCAGCCCTAGCTGTGACCCCCAGCCTCAGCATGGCCCAGTCAGGCCCCCCCGGGGGAGTACAGGGATGTGTCCAGCCCTCTGCCCAGCTCTGTCCTGCTGCTCTCGCCACCCCAGGCCCCTGCGCCCAGCCACTCACCCCCACCCCCTCCAAAGGCTCCTGTTAGGAGAGACTTGGCAGAGGAGCGGCAGGGTTTAGCCATGCAGCCACCCCAGGGCAGGCATGAGGACACCCAGGTGCTCCTGAGCAGGCAGGTGCCAGGGCCTGGGGGTCATGTGGAGGAGGGGACCGCCCCTCCCTGCCCAGAGCGCAGAGGCTCCCCGGCTCCCGGGTCAGCGGCAGCACCTCACCCCACCCCAGGCTCTTCCCACCCAGTTCCTGCCTCAGCAGATGGAGGCCAAGAGGCTGCCAGCACCGTGCCCTGCCCTGGCCCTGTTCACAGGACCTTCTAGAGGTCACATCCAAAGCTACCAGGGGTCAGGGCTCAGATACAACCTGGGAAAGCCAGGCCCCAGCCCCATTCCTTGCAGCAGGGACCTAAGGGGCCTAGCCCATGTGACCTAGAGCCCCGTCCCTCAAGACCCCCCAAGAAGCTCCCTGGCCGGTGCCTGGTGTCACCCACCTGCCGGCACCAGCCTTAGCTGAGCTCGATCTACATGCAGTGTCTTCCAAAAACAGTGTGGGCAACCCAAAGGCTCCTTCCCACCCTCGGGAACCAGGCCGTCCACTGGGGTAGGGGACATAGGCCACAGTCAAGGGTCTCCCAGGGCCCGGTCTAGGCAGGGGGCGCGCTCTGCTTCCCAGTGAGCATTTTCCCGGGTTCACCACACGGTGTCTGACCACAGATGGCCTTTGCTAAACCTGAGTCCATTAGATAGGGGCCACCGTGCACATGTGGAGGACAGAGGAGGTGGACAGGGTGACCTCAGGCTGCAGGGTTGTGTCCTGTGCCCCCTGGAGGGGTAGGGTTGAGGCTGAGCTCCTCCTCAGGGTGTCACTGGACCCAGCATAGCGGCTGTGTTCCCCAAAACGATGTGTCCCCTCAAAAGGATGTGTCTGAGCCCTGACCCCTGGTAGCTTTGGATGTGTCCTTTGGAAATAGGGTCTTTGCAGATGTGTTAAGGTATTAAGGTGTTAATATGCCACCACCTGTAACCTTGACAACTCTGGAGGCCAAGGCAGGAGGATCACAAGTTTAAGTCCAGCCTTAGCAACTTAGGCCCTAAGCAACTTAGCAAGACCCTGTTTCAAAATAAAAAGGGCTGGGGTTGTAGCTCAGGGGTTAAGTGCTCCTGGGTTCAATCCCCAGTACTTAAAAATAATAAATAAAAGAGAGAGATGCTTTGGCTAGCGTACTTGCTGAAAGTGAAGTTGCCCTTCTTGATACCTCTGCCCTTTTGTGCATGTACATAAGGAAACAATGATTTTTAAAAGTCCAAAATGTATTAAGTTCATGTGAATCATTTTGAACTTAGTCAAATAAATGAACTTTTAATGTAAAACTTTTGAGTTTCTAACTATGAATAGGCAATTTCTCCTCCCTTTAAATTGTAATTGTGCCTAGAGTCTAAAACCCCATAAAAATATCATCAGTGCTGGGTGCTATGGTGCACGCCTGTAATCCCAGCTACTTGGGAGGCTGAGGCAGGAGGATCACAAGTTCAAGGCCAGCTTGGACAATTTAGCAAGACCCTGTCTTGAAACATTAAAAAAGGGGTGGGGGACTGGGGATGTAGGTCCTCTGGGTTCAATCCACAAAAAGGTTTTTTAATATTCATTTATTTTGGTTGTACACAATACCTTTGTTTTTATTTATTTGTTTTCATGTGGTGCTGAGGATTGAACCCAGGGCCTTGCACGTGCTAGGTGAGTGCTCTACCCCTGAGCCACAGCCCCAGCCCCACAAAAGGTAAGAAAAGAAAAAGGATATGCTAAGATGAGGTCCCCCCAAGTGGGTGTGACTGGTGTCCTTGTAGGAAGGGGAGTTATGGAAGGCAGAGTGTGGAGACAGGCAGAGATGGCCTAAGCCAGGGCCTGGGGCTGGGGCAGCCCTCAGGGCAGACACCACCCTCCCACACCCTGGCTTAGGACTTCTGGCCACCAGGACTGTGAGCGTGAGTTCCTGTCATGTTCGGACACCCAGTTTGTGGTCCTTTGTTAGGCAGCTGTCCATGTGGCCACTGACCAAGATGGACTAGAGCTCAGCTGGCCCTGCCCTCCTGGGGCCCGTCCCCCTGAGCCTGGCCTCCTCATCCACCAGGCCTGGAGGCTCTTTCATGCTGTCACTACCTGCTGGCCTCTGTCCCCTGGGAATGCAAATCCTCCCCACTTCCCACTCCCAGAGAGGAAGCTGGCGTCCAGGGCCCACAGAGGGGCAGGATTTGCATGTGGCCTTTCTGAGCTGGCAGAGTGGTTTGATGGTTGGGAACTGGGGTCTGAGGACAAGACCTGGCTGGGGGCACACAGATGCCTAACACCGCGGAAATGGACCTCTCACAGTCACGCAGGAAGAAGCCCAAGATCCAGGCGAGGCAGGGCTGCTCCCCCAGAGCCTCCAGGGAGCATCCCCTGCCTCCTGCAGCTCCGGGGACTCTGGGTGTCCTTGGCTTGTGGCCACACGTCTTCTGTGTCTTTGTGTCCTCTCTTTTCCTTGTAAGGACACCAGTTGCCGAGTGGGGTCCCCATCCTCCCTCAATCACATCTGCAAAGACCCTATTTCCAAACGCTGTCATGGCCTGAGGTTCTGGGTGGGCACTGGTCCTTCTTGGTGTCCCCCCACTATTTGGGTATAGGGCCATTCCTTGCCACATCTGGACGTGTGCTTTGCAGCAGGGTGCAGCTGGACATGCTCTTTGGCCCAGGGTTGCGGGGGCTGGGGGAGGGTTTGGTATCAGAGGCCTTAGCCCTGGTGCTGCCCCTCAGCCTGGGGTATGACAAGGGTGTCGTCATCTGCTGTCCTGTGAACTTCAGGCCAGGGAAGGGTCCCACTCTTCTCTCCCCTTGATCTCGGGTGAGGAAGGTGGTAGGTGGCCTTGCCACAGGAGGGCTGCTGTGGGGCTCCCTCACCCCTGAAATTCCTTCCCCGCGAGGCTAGCCCCACCTGGGTGCTGGTTGGCCTGGGGTGCGGCATGCCTCCCACTGCAGGAGCAGCACCCAGGGATTGGGGACAGGTCATGGGCCCAGGCCTCAGCATGTCCCACAGCCTGCCACCTCTTTCCTGGCTGCAGGACAGGAGGGGTGCCCCTGAACCCCTGGCCTTCCCGAGGGCCCAGACAACCACCCCACACTGGCTTCCAGCCCAAGGGCTGAGGGGCATTCGGACTGGTGCCAGCCCAGGCAAATGGGGCCACCAAGAGGGGGGGCATGCAAATGGCCAGGGATTTGCATGAGCAGGTGTCCAGGTCTCCCAGGCCCTCCCTGCATGTTCCTGGAGGAGTGGGGGACCTGGCCACTGAGGGTCCCGCAGGATGCTGAGACCAGAACTCCCGAGAGGCGAACCCGTGCAGACCCCTGGCCTTGGCAGTGAAGGCTGGGACCCTTGCAGGGCAGATGGCCAGGCCAGCTGGGGTCTGGCACTGAAACAGCCCAAACAGAATGCATCCCTGACACAGGAGGGGGCGGCCCGGGCAGAGCTGGGTGTGAGCCCAGGTCCCAGTCCACTCTGTCCCCCAGCCACGACTTTGTAGTTCCCCTGGACTCCTGGGCAATCTGCCCCAAGAGATGTGCTGTAGGTCCTGCATACAGCGGGCACCAGGTGGGCGATGTGCCCGTGTCCCTCCAGCAAGGACCCTGGTCTCCCTGACGGGGCAGCCCAGCCTCCCCTGTGGCCCTTTGCTGGCCTCTGAGCACCTCCTGCCCCCCCAGTGCCACAGATATCCCCTGACATGTCTCCGATTTGTGGGGCGCCCGCCACCCAGACCCTCCAATCGCCAGGCGGCCCCTGCCCTCACTGAGGTGGGCCTGCTACCCCACAGCCCAGGAAGAAGGGTCCTGTCCCTGCTAGAGAAAGGGGCCCCGAGGCAGGCAGCAGGGAGGCGGCTGCAGCCACACAGCCTGGCCCGCTCCCGGGCCACCCTTGGCAGGAGGGGGCTTTCCCAGGCTGCGCCCTCAGGAGCCTGCGGGTGGGGCCTACCTGCCTGCTGTCCCCCGCTGCTGGCCAGAGTGGTGGAGCGTCACCGTCACCCGCAGCCTGTGCCTGAGGCCCTTCCCCTGGGCTCCTCACCCTCCCCGCCCACCACACCTGGCACGCGGGCAGCCAATGCGGCCCCAGGAAGCTGGTGAACGATGGTGGAGGCCAGCCTTCCTCAGGTCTGATTGGCTAGACCCCAAGGGCACCTCCGCACCCACTGCTGAGAGGTCGCCTGCTGTCACTGTCATTCCTGCAGCAGGCCTACCTGGGGTGACACTGGGCCCTACCTGGGGACACACAGCCTGGCCAAGTCCACCAGGGCCACACCCGACACCAAGTGGGACAGGCCCCTTGCTTCAGTTCCCACCAACCTTGATTTCCCCAGCAAGTGAGAATGGGAGGTGCCAAGGGCCTGGGGCCACCACTGGGCGTAGGAGCAGCTGTCCCAAGGACAGGCCGGCAGAGGGACCGTCCTTCCCCCCGCGGCCTGTGGAGGCCTCGAGACAAGCCCTGGGTGCACCGGTGGCATCCACTAGCAGGCAGCTGCTCTGGGGGTGCTGTGTGGGCACGGTCCCTGCCTCTGGTGGCCGGGCGAGGTGACGGTGGGCCAGCCTGCCCTCTGTAGCCCTCTCGCTCCCTCACCAGCTGGGCCTCAGCCTGTCTGTAGAGCGGGGATCCCCAGACCAGCTTCCTGGAGTTGGGGT